TGCATCACTACAAGGATTGACAAGAGTCTAATCTTTTAAGAAATTTAAAAATAAATAAAAAAAGCCAAAGTGGCAAAAATGGTTTGAAATGAGATTGATTTACTTTTAGTCTTCTCACAAAAATGTCAAAGTATTATTAAATTGATTGAAATTTATTTATGAAAGTGTTTTAAAAATGCATGGACATAAGTCCAAGTTTATTATGAAAATGTTTCAAGTTTCAAATAAGAAGAGTTTTTAAAAGGAGGGAGAAGATTTTTGAAATTAAAGAAGATGGGAGGAGAAGAAGGGACTATCCTAAAGAATAAGGTAAAAGCTAGGGATAAGAACCATCTAACCAACAAGAAGCCAATACTTGACATTATGAGTCAATATAGAATTCCCATTCTTTGGATTGAAACCAAGCAAGCAAAGATACTAGACCTCTTGAGAGAACCAAACTTCAAGTGTATTAAGTCTTCGCAAAAATTGGGCAGAGTAACGGTTGCATACGGGTGAATTCCAGATTACAAACAAAGTATGTAATCACAATAACCTGCACGTAAAACAAACAAACAACCCAATGTCTTGAGGTAAACCTCAAGAACTCCAGACAAAATATCAAATAAAGTCACAAAGTCTCCAAGATAGGCCAAGGTCTCTAATCCTAAGTCCAAGAACTCCAATACTCCATAATGCCAAGGATAGTAACCAAATAGTACAAGTATCATTAAAGATTTTTATGGTTCATGTTGATTAATAGGTGACTTTAAAAGGAAAAGAAAATCTCAAGTGAGTAAAATAAAAATGACATAAAAGTAAATGTTCAAATGAGCAAAATAAAAAGATGGCATGAAATGTAAATGCTTAAATTAAATGGTACATAAAGCATAAAAAATAGAAGCATAAAGTAAAGTCAATTGTTAGAAATTAGTGGTTAGTTGGATGACCATCTTGAAACTTGCATTTGGAACTCATTAGAGGATTGGTAGAAGCAAAGCCTCCACACAACAAGTTGCATTTTCTTTTTGTCAAGTATATCATCCATTTTGGAATCCTCAAAAGTAACATTTAATGATCAATGGTGTTTAAGTGATCCGCGTTGACCAAAGGTGTTATAGATACATTAGAGGATTGGTAGAACCAAAGCTTCCACACAATGAATCTCAAGGTTATTGGATCAAAGAGATCAAATTAACATAAGTTTGGGCCACGAATGATCATTTATTCGAATCGGGACAAAATTTAGCACTATGTTAAGCAATCGTAAGTGGACTTATGTAGAAGTCACACCTATTTTGAGGTCGGTCAATAGAAATCTATGTACTTCATGTTTGTATAAATGATATAGAGATCACCATCCCTTAACATGTAGCACAATTAAAAAAAGAAAGGGATAAGATGAAGAGGGAGGGGAATTATAAGCTAATTTGGATCACCATTTCAAAATTCTTTCATCTTTAAATTCAACCACTCCTCTAGATGGATTAAAGCCCTAAACATATCATTAATCCAAAGCACCGAAAATGAATTAAATAATTCACTGTTAGGTAGATTTGAATTGATGAACATTTATCTAACTTCATCTACATCACAAAGTCCATTGAGTTTAAAGACAAATTGGACATTTAAAATTGCAATCCAAACTATCCATCAAAGAGAGTGAGCAGAAAAATATTTGAGTCAAAACAGCCCCAAAATAAGGCAGAAAGTTATTTTCGACATTGTTGCAATCGATTATGCTTCGACAGCAACCTATTGCATCAGTGCAGTTTTTCTTTTAAAATCAATTTTCTGTGACAATTAATTGAAATGTTACAACAATTGATTGCAACCTGTTAAAATCAGTCGAAAACAGCATCTCAAGGATCAAATTCTTGTTCCAACTTTTTATCAAACACCTTATGATCATGGATCCAATTGAGCATGAAAATTCCATCAAATTATGAGAAAATAGAACTAATGGATTCATAAAACAGTACTCAATGAATCAAAACCAGAAATCCAAAAGAGATCACATTGTGAAAGATGATGATCCAACTTACCAAAGGTAGAATTAGAGAATTATCAACAACTTCCAGAATTTGCTTCAATTCAACCACAAGAATCAATTACCAAAGCTTGGATGTAGAGAATTGATGAAGAAAATATGTTTGGATAATGGTCTAGCTCAAAGATTAGTAAGCTTCAATGCAAAGCTTACTAACTTTTCGAAAATTGAGCTTTGAGTGAATTTTGTAGATGGAGAGAATTGAGAGATTTTTTAGCAAGATGAGTTTGGCTATCAAATGCTTGTGATTTGAATGAAATGAGGTCTCTATTTATAGAGTTTTAGGATTGGGATTACTGGTAATTTGGTAATTTATTCTTGGAGCCAAAATTGAATTAATGATATAATTTCAAATTATGCAGAAAAATTGGAGCCAAAAAGATAACAGTTTGAAATTGCTGGCTTTTTTCAAAAAACACATGCATTTTGCTGTTATGAGTCGATACATGGGTGGTATGCGTCGACACATTCTAGAAGTATAACACAACATGTGTCGATACATGCCTCTATGTGTCGATACATACTGCTGCTTCAACATATTACAGAATCAAACAAACTGTATGAGTCGATACATAACACGTATGTGTCGACACATGCTAGTTATACAAACAGGATGAGTCGATACATACATGCATGTGTCGACACATGCTAGTTATACACATTAGGATGAGTCGATACATACCTTTATGGGTCGATGCATGCCTTTATGGGTCGATGCATGCTGTCTTGTGCCACAATACATAATCAAATCAACTTGCATGAGTTCGACACAAGCCTCTATGGATTGATATAAGCTGCCTTTCAACACAATACAAAATTGAATGCTTTGCTGGAAAACCTTATTTGTCGGATGCTTTGACTCGATACCTACAAAACACAATTTTGCAAAGACAAAGACAACTATTTTTTTTTGTATTTTGGGTTAGAAATTAATTATCAACGCATATACAAAATACACAACCAAGGTGCTTGGAGATTCCTCAAGAGAAAACATAAAGAGAGGAGATAGAAAAAGAGGAAGAACCAACCCTAATGTGATCTTGTTATGATCAAGTTGACATGATATGATAGGGGAATCTTAGGGGGAAAAATTGGGGTACAACACTCAAGAAAACTTGCTACGCTCTGGCATGGGCTGCCTACCGGCTAAGATAGTATATGTTGACCCATACTACCTTGTTGATATCCAAGATGGATCCAATTGAATACATATTCGAGAAACCCACCCTCTTTGGAAAAATAGCAAGATGGCAGATGATCCTGACTGAATTCGACATTCAGTACACAACCCAAAAAGCAATAAAGGGCAGTGTGCTAGCCGATCACCTCGCTCATAAGGCTGTGGATGACTACCAGTCCATGAAATTCGAGTTCCCAGATGAAGATATCATGATGGTAAACAATTGTGAAGAACTCAGACATATGACGAACCTGAACAAGGATCCCGATGGACCTTGGTTTTTGACGGAGCCTCCAACGCACTCAGAAATGGCATAGGTGCTGTAATCATATCCCCTGAAGGATGTCATACTCCCTTCACTGCAAGACTTTGTTTCAACTGTGTAGCGGTGAAAATCGGAGATCAAGCTATTAATTAACTTGACTCACAAAAGCAAGAGTCGCCACTGCGCTTTATTATTTCCAAGGGAAAAGGGAAAAGAGCGAAATAAAACCCTAAAATATGCAATGTAAAATAATACTTAAAAGCAATAAAAATACAATGCGTTTTTGAAAGAGATCGAGAGTTCGGGGGTTGGTTATACAATGGGAAGGTATTAGCACCCAATGCATCTGCGGTACTCCGCAGGAACCTTTTGAAATATCTGTTTTTTTGGTTAAAATTGTTTGTTTGATTAAAATGGTTTGTTTGGCTAAAAATAGGTGTTGGCGAGATTTTGAAGATACGACGACCTAGTGTCGAAGTTTTGACTTAAAAGGTGTGAGTTTGAAAATGGAGTCTTTTGGGAAAATTATCTTAAGTTTGGAAAAAATAGTAAACAAGCAAAAAAAATGAATGAGGTTATTCGCACGATTGTAGAAGACGTATTTGATGACATGAAGTCAGTGGAGTTGAAACATTTCCCTTGGAATTAATCATAAGTGGGTAGATCTAAGGTTTGAGTAAGAAATCATAAATAGTTAAAATCCACGAGAAACGAACAAGGTAGATAACAAGATAAATAGTAAGAAATTAAATGAATGGACAAAGAAGAATCATGAATAAAAAAAAGTGTAATTAAAAAATTATCTAGACTAATTTGAAATTCTAAGGTTACTAAGTAAACTAAACTTAAATTCTAAAGTGTCTAACTAAATTAAATAAAATTTTGAAGTTATTAACTAAATTAAAACTCTAAAGTTACTAACAAAAATTCAAAAGTTATTAAATTAAATCTAAAATAAATTAACACTCTAATATTACTGAATTAGGTCTAAACTAAATTAATTCTAAAGTTGCTAAATTACATCTAAACTAGTTTAAGTATAAACTAAATTCATTATAAAATTACTAAGTTAATCTAAACTATATTAATAATAAAATGACTAACTTAAATCAAAACTAAATTAATCCTAAATTAAAGATTAAAATTCTAAGATTAAATTCTAAAGTTATCAAAATGTATCTATACTAATTGGAAGTTCTAAAGTTATGAAATAGATCTAAACAAATTAAAAATTCTAAATTAATACTAAACTAAATCTAAATATAAGATTTACTAATATTTTTTTATATATTTTTTTAAACATAAATCAATTGTCATAGAAAAATGACTCTTACATGTTAGTGTGTCATGCTAGTGCAGGTTATGAGATGTCATCATTAAAATACTCATTCAAATAGTATGTTAAGTGTATTGTACTTGAAGCTGAACTATATTATAATGTGTAACTTGAGTATACATGGGTGTGGGAAATAGAAAAAAGCAGTTGTACCTTATAGCAAAACTGATCTCAAATTGTGCAAAATGTATTAGCAGACTGTCATAGCGGATAAAGGTAGCAGGTGACATTTAATGGTGAGTTGACCCTTGCCTTGATGGAAAAAGATATGTGTTGAACCAAAGGCAGCTCCAAGTGCGGCCATAGCTTCTCGTACTACACAGTACTTGGTAAAACACTCCACTAACAGCGCATGGGTTTTCACATTTGGCTGTATGCGCTTATGATCTTCGACCATCATGCCAAGTAACTCAGCGACATCTTGTACTCTGTCATACGAATCAGCTCTAGTATACGCTTGAATGACCCAATTGTATGTTTCTGTATCCGGCTTCATATAATCTTCTCCATATTCCATGTTCTCAAATGTTGTAAAGGCTATTTCAGGTATTCCGCAGGTAGCCTGCACAGAAAGGAGGCAATTAAAATGAAACGTTGTTGCCATTCGTCCAGCAGCTTCCATCTCATATGAAACTTCCAAAGCATTAGAATGGTCTCCCACTTTACAGTCTTCCACAATTAGAAGATCATATACTTCATCAGTAGCCCTAAGGCCACCCTTAGCACCCTTCAAGAACACTCTATTAGCATCTTCAAATGCTTATTCCGAACGAGTTCCTCAATAAGAATAATCCAAGCTTGACGAATATCATAATCTAGGTTTTCCATAGCTCCAAGTATCTCTAAACCTCTAGTGGCTTGACCTTTAGACCCAAACCATCTTACCAACGCAATGAAAGTTTCATGAATAGGTCGAAGCCCCGCACCTAATTCTCTCCTCAGAGAATCCATCGCGGCTTGTTCATCGCCGTTAAGGGCGTAGGAAACTACCAAACCGTGAAACGACCTAGGGCCTGGACTCAAACCGGCGGCAATCATGTCGTACATGACTTGAGAAACTCCGGTTGAGTTACGGTTCCTGGCATGGTTCATGAGCTCCTCCATGAAACTGAACCGGAGACTGGTTTCAAGGGAAGTGTCGTCATCTTCGGGTTGTTTCTTCTTTCTGGTTCGCTTCACTGTGGAAGTAACCGCTGCTGCTCGAACCGGTGCGGTTCGGGGAGAGAAGCGGTTTAGTTTGAAGGGGATGTAGGTGTGGGCGTAACTGGGAGTGTAACATGAATGCATGTGTATGGAATTGTGAAACGAGGTTTGGTTTTGAGAATTGAGAGAGTGAAGCGGTTGGAAGGCGGAATGGTGAGGTCTGTGTAATGGTATGGAGTAGAGGAGGAATTTATGGATTGTTTGTGTTGGTGAAACAACGATGGATGGAAATTGGAGGTGGTGCACGGAAATTGGATGCTAAGATATGAAGATCGAATGGATGGTTGAAGGATGTTTGGATAGTTTGCTCAAGTTGATTATGTTGAATGGTGTTATGTAGAAATAAGGGTGGCTTACTGTAAAAAAGAGGAATAGAAAGTTATGCGTGGAGAGAGGGGGAGTATGTTACTGTGTTGTTTTGTTTTTTGTTTTTTGTTGTGTGTTTTTGTTTCCTCCCCTCCTCTACAAAGTGATAAAGGTGCTACTTAAATAATAAAATAAAGAAGAATATTTTTTTTCAGGTTTAATCCCATCCGTCCAAAATTATTAAATCAGCATCTATCCGCTATTTTTGCTAACAGTCAATAAGAATCAAGCACAGTGTAAATAATATTTTTTGTGACCAAATAACCCTTAAATGATAAAAATAACCAAAAAGACTAAGAATATTAAAATTAACTCCATTTAAAATAATTTTTTTGAATCTTTTCTGAATAAAAAATAAGGACCCAAAATGACTAAAAACAATAAAAAACGGAAGAAAATTTATCCGAAAAATTAATATGAACACATTAAAATAAACTACATGTAAAAAAGATTAAAGAAAAAATATTTAAAAGTCAAAGTCAAAATAAAATGATAATAAAAATATCAGGCTAAACAGACGTTTAGGGTTAAAAACGAGACTTCGAACTGTACCGAAAAAATAAAGCGAGCATACCGTCATAATCTACGCGAAACGCAGATTCATAAAATGATCGGTAAAAGGTGAAAACTTGAAATATTTTCTCGCTAATTTCCTGCATAGTGTCGAATCGCTTTTAACAGTCTGTCTATAAAACCAAAATATTTTTATTATCGACATATAAACAACTTGGAGCAATGCAAGAAACGAGTAAAGAGATAAAAATGCATGAAGTGAAATGTCAGGTATTTTACAACTGAAAGACGATGCAAACTTTGATTTAAACTGACTTTTTCTGGTCAACTTAAATACGACTAATGATGCAAAACATGATGAATGAAGATATTTACTAATGATTGTGACCAAAGGACAAAATATGGTATGAATGTGCGACTGAAAAAATTAGGGGCGAAATTAAGGGCGCAACGGTGTGCCTTGATGAATCAGTCTTCGAGAATCCACAATCAACCGTACTTCTGGCTTGGGAGACTCAAAACCTTAATTGAGGCGCGACACCTGATGCTCTTGATTCAGACCTGTCTCTGCACATGACACAAAAGAACATGAACATACACCTTTGTATGCGATTAGAAATTAGTGATACATATGCTAAAAATGTTCAAAACACTTGACAATCTTCGCATAGTCAAAGCTCGAAGGTGAGACGTTAAATCCGACCGTATTTCGTGACCTTGACTTATCTTAAAAAATGCAAAAAATAAAAATGGGATCTTAGGTCAAAAATTGGGGTACAACAGCTGCCCCTATTTAAGTTTCTTCTATATGGAGATATGAAGATTGAGATCTTCATTTCGACGAGATTGAAGGGACTTAAATATAGAATACACAATTTTTGGCCTTAAGATACCACAATTATGTTTATGATATGATATGAATGTGATGGTTTTGAATTTTATGGGGAATGACGCCATATGAGACAAACTGTGCTGGAGAAACCAAGCATATTATAGTAATCCTACAGGGGAACAGATTATAACACCACTGGGGAAACAAAGTCATAGACTTCAAATGAGAGACTCTTGAATGATTTACATCAGTATTGTGACTGGAAAAGGTAATGATTTACAACAATACTGTGACTGGAAAAGCATATGATTGACATCAGTACTGTGACTAGAAAAGGTAATAATTTACAACAGTACTGTGACTGGAAAATGATTGATATCAGCACTGTGGATGGAGATAAACATCTCTGATTTCTGAATTTTACCAAGAACGGTAACACATTTCTTCTTTAACCAAGATATCGCTTGAAAAGGATAAAATAACAAACTTCCCCACGAGACTTTTCCGAAAGGGATGCCATTTGCTGAGTAGACATTATTGTTGGGGATACACAAGCTGCTCAAATAAAGAGGCCGCCACCTGCTTCCTTTCAAAGGTGTCAATAACATACAAGTTGCTCATGAAGAGACCGCCACTTGCTGTCTTCAAAGAATATTAAAGCACACAAGCTGCTCATGAAGAGTCCGCCACTTGTTGCCAAAAACCCACAAGCTGCTCATGAAGAAGCTGCCACTTATTGTCTTCAAGGGAAAAATAACACACAAGTTGCTCAAATAGATAAGCTGCCACTTGCTGTCTTCCAAAAATACTAACGTACAAACTGCTCATGAAGAAGCTGCCACTTGCCGTTTTCAAAAAAAGTGTTGATAACATACAAGTTGTCCATGAAGAGACTTCCGCTTGCTGTTTTCTTTAAAAGTGTTGATAACATACAAGTTGTCCATGAAGAGACTGCTGCTTGTTGTTTTCTTTTCAAAATTACCAATAACACACAAGTTGCTCAAATAGATAAGCTACCACTTGTTGCCAATAAACCACAAGCTGCTCATGAAGAGCTGCCACTTGCCATCTTCAAAGAATATTAAAGCACACAAGCTACTCATGAAGAGTCTGCCACTTGTTGCTTATAACCCACAAGCTGCTCATGAAGAGCTGCCACTTGCCATTTTCCGTACAAGCTGCTCATGAAGAGCTGCCACTTTCCGTTTTCCAAAGAAAAATAACGTACAAGCTACCCATGAAAGGACTGCCACTTGCCGTTTTTTCGAGGTGTCAATAATATACAAGTTGCCTCGGGAAGAGACTGCCGCTTGCTGTTTGTCCAGAGTATCCATAACACACAAGTTGCCTCGTGAAGAGACCGCCACTTGCTGTTTGTCAAGAGTATCCATAACACACAAGTTTCCTCATGAAGAGACTGCCGCTTGCTGTTTTTCAAAGGTACCGACAAAATATCGTGAAGGTATTGCTGGAAGTGAGAATCAAAAATTTCATCGGGGATGGACAAACTGCTCATGAAGAAACCGCCATTTGTCATAGAGAAATCAGAAATAATCAAACTGCTCAAATAAAGAGTTAGTCGCTTGTTGTCATGTCGATATTCCAGAAGAAGGTTGTGATAACACTGCTGGGGAATAATGTTCATCTTCAATGGGGAACCATGAGTAAATCCTTCTTGAGGAGACCAAGTATTTACATTGCAAAATAAATGCACTCTCCATCTAGGTTTCACAGCCTAGAGATATTCACAGGGTATCGTTCACAAGAGACACAGCTCAATCCAGGAATAAACTGGAGAGAAAACAGCCAAACAAGACTCCACCCAATGAAGAAATAACTCAAATGGGGATTTATCCTATCCAGAGATGGAAAAGGAAAGCTAAAGCAAGATTCTTCCACGAGAGTTAACTCAGTGGGGAATTAGAAAGAAGGCACACTTTATGCTTAAGTTGACACTCTATTTGGAAAGATCAAAGATGTTATTTGAATAGACATAACCAAGGTGTACGAACTCAATGACATCAACAAATACAACTGTGCATGCATGATGCAAGTGTGAATGAATAAATGAATGCCATATATGTGCTGACAAAACAAATAGACAAGATAAACTGGAGATGATAAGACATCATAGCACAACCCAACACTCGTCTAATCTCAACAGGATGGTAACATTACTGGAGATAGAAAACAAAAGCCATCATTGGAGCAAAGTCATTTTACAAGGCTTAAATCTCTTTGGAGAGGAAGATATTTTCAGGTAGAAAACCCAAAGTCCAGTCTTCTATCGCAAACAATCCATTGAAAGGATAACAACACAAACACTGTTTCAGCTGGAAAAAGTCATGCTTAGATGGAGGTACTGGGAACACCACCCTCTGATAATGTGTGCAATACATATCACATATCTTGACAAATCTAGATTGCCCCTGGGACCAATTTTGGATGCCCCAAGTTTACTGCTGATGAGCTGCATGTTGCACGACAATTCTTGCGAATAGCTTCACCTCTAAAATGCCCCGAGCTATATGGTTGATGAGGAGAAGTCGTCTCAAGAGGATTTTACAAAAGACTTGGCATTCACCATGCTCTGGTGTCTTCAAACTCTTAGAGAGATTCATCAAATATCTACGTGATTGCCCCGGATTGACTGTAGTCGGCACAACAAAGTCTTCGAATTTTTGCCACGAAAGGGTAAACAAGTTGGAGAAGCATTAACTGGGAGAAGCAACATGTCCGTGCTTAAGGTCTTCAGGTGAAATGCCCATGGATATGATTTTTCTTGACGTGATCCGCCAATTACTAAACAGAGCTTCAGGCCTCAAGAATAGACTCATCACTGGTGCTTATGTGAGCTTCCTTGATATCAAACAAATGTTTTGCAGTTAGAAAGAGTTTACAATGAGAATGAAAATTCTAATGCAACAGTTATGTAAGTCTTGAAGATTTTGAAAGATATCGCACAAATTTTGCGAGTTAAAGCACCATTTATTTTTGTGTAGGAATAACATATGATACCAACATAACTATTTAGAACATTCATGGGAGTTAGGAACACTATCCCATTGAAGTATGCTTTCAAAATAACCTTGCTTCAATTAGGACTTTTGAAGGTTGTAACGTGGTTTGGTTCATGGTTTTTAGAAAAAATATTTTAAGGCTCAAAAATATTTGGTGCCCACCCATTCTTCATCATGTTCTCCAACCCTATGTTCAGTTAATTCAACATGAGTGTTCATCTCTCAAAAGGATTTTGTGACGGTCAAGGAAACGACGAGGCTTTCGGAGTAGAAACCGCCCTCATGTCTTCGTGTTTGTAGTCACCAATTTGTTCTTTATTGAGGACTTTTCTTTGCAGTTATTTTCTTTGCAA